AAAAAAAAAAAAAAAAAAAAAATTTATTTTATAAATAATAAATCCCTCTCTTATCATGCATTAATTAAAAACCTTTTTTTTTTTTTTCCACCTCCTTTTCCCACCTTCTCCCTTCTTTTTCAAAAGATTACATTCTTTTTTTTTTATCGTTATTCAATATGTCTTTTTTTATATGCATTAAAAAAAGAAAGTTTTAAAAATGGGAAAACTCAAAAAATCCATTGATGTTACACAAACCTCGAGATTTCCAGAGATTTCCCCTATTTTTTTTAATCCTGAAAAATACAGGAAAAATCTCGGGTATCTCAAAAAAGTGTTCTTTCTTTAAATAAGAAAATATCATCATTAATAAATCATGCATATAATCATTATTATATCATATATATCATATATACATATAAATATACATATATATATATATAATAGAAATTTTAACGGGCGAATAATTGTATTAAGATTTAATTAACTTAATATGAATGGTGTAATGTGTAAATCAATTACTGTACATATGATATACAATTAATATAAATGACTTGATTTTTTTGATTTATTACGAAAAATAAAGATGTTGTATGTTGATTTGGCGTTTCTTTCTTTACCATTCATGTCTGATTAATCATTTAATTGGGGCTCCCACCCCCAAAAAGTATCACCAGAAAGCGTAAAATCAAGTTAATGTTGTGATTTATTATTTTTTTTTAAAAAAAAACCTTATTTATTTTTTTAAAAAAAACATCTGTGCGTTAAATGATAAATGTTATTCGTACATGAGCTGATTTTAAATAAGTTACTTTTTTATTATTATATTGAATAAGGTTGTAATAAATCCTAACTAAAATAACAGGAGGTAATTTGTTTGTAACGCATAAATAAAAAGTAAGGGGCGATTCTGCGTTTTGTCCGCCTGACTCACATGAACTAAAATTTTAATAAAAATTATTATTTTGTTTACAAAATTGGTCGAGAAATAAGTGATGCATTTATTAAATAAGGTTTGATTAAATAAATTTATCAAGTTTCTTTTTTATAATCTTTGGGGTTCTGTAACGAATTAATCCGGTTTTTTTTTTATGCACTCAGCAACTCGTACAATCGTACGCGAAAAAAGAATATTTGCATGCAACTGTACGCGAAAAGTACTCTATAATCCGAATATGCATTCCATACATGAAAAAGTAAATCAACTGACGCGCATGTCACAAATCAGTTAAGTGTCTTTATAATGATTTACTTTTATAGATTTTAAAGGGATTTATGAGATTTTTATGGCGTTAAAATTTTTATTATTTAGGGAAGAATGAATGAATGAAAAATTAAAATTTCGGGGGGGGAATGATATTAATGATATAACTGATATAACTCAGCGAAATGTTTTTAATTGAATGAATGATTCACCGGATTCACCGGATTCACCGAATTCACCCAGAAAAAGTGATTAACTGATTCACATCAAAAAAAAAAAAGTGATTCACCTGATAATAACAAAAAAACAAGTTTTTTTACGTGATTGAATTTTTTTTGATTGATTTATTGATTTATTTATGTCTACACGTGATAGCATGATTGATCATTTTTGTTAGTTATTGTTAGTCATCGGTTGCACTAATTTCTGAATTCTAACGCATTGTTTAATTTTTCCCCCTTGTAATTTACTTATTTTATTTGAATTTTAACTAAATGAGATGAAATATTTATCTCCCATTATAAGATCATAAATGAACATTTTTTGTAACACGTACGCCTTTTTTTTTTTTATTTGAATTTTTGGTTTGGTAAATTTTTAACAAAAAATATATATATATATACTGTATATATTTTTAGTTTAAAAACGGAAAAGATTTTTTTTCTCGGGTAACACATTTTTTTTTAATGATATCTTTCAATAGTTTAATGGAATATGGGATTGAATGAAAATGAATAAATTTCAATTACGTAAATTCTTGATCAAATTTATTTATTTTTTTTTTTTTTTTAGTAAAACGTTATCAAAAAAATTTCCAAGAAAATTCTCTCCACATTCAGATGGAACCTAAAATGGAGATTAAAAAAAGATCATCTAAAAATAAAAAATAAATAATAATAATAAAAATAAAATAAAAATAAAAAATAAAAAAATAAAATCATTGGTAACATTTTGGTAACATTGGTAACATTTACTAACATTTGTAACATTTGTAACATGAACCGTAGCATGAACCTATTTTTTTTAAAAAAAAAAAGATATAAATATTTTGTCGATCAAAAGAACTTATATAAACATATTATATATAATTTCTATTAAAAATATTAAAAAACTTATACAAATATAAATATATATATAATATATATATACTATTTGATTATGTTATCGTATAAAAATGTAGTTCACCGAGTTCACCGAGTTCACTGAGTTCACTGAGTCGCCAAGCTTATCGGGTTTATCGTAAGGGCGCAAATAACACAAATCATACCATGAATTGCATCATAAAAAAGAAAAATCTTTTTTCTTGGTTTGATTTGTAAGTTTTTTTTTTATAGAAATTTATTATTATTATTTTTATTCCTTTTTCATTGAATGAATGAATATTATCTCAAGACTTTTTCCGGTTAAAAAAAAGGCTAAATTCGGAATTAAAATGTTAGGTTCATTTAATGCTTTTTTTACATTAAATGAAATGTGTAATCTTATAAATGTTACACTTATACAATTATTACACTTATTACATTTGCTACGCTTATTACACTTATTACAATTACACTTATTACACTTATGACACTTAAACTTATTACTCCTATTACACTTACACTTATTATACTCACTATACTTATTATTGCACTTATTATACTTACACTTATTACACATATTACATTTTTAGCTTTTTCACACTTATCACAGTATATACCGTATATACCGTATATATTACACATATTACATTTTCAGTATTACACTTATTATTTCAAACTTTTTTACCGATTTTCTTATAATAATTTATAATAATAAATAATAATAAATAATAATAATAAAATGTAACAATCGATTAACAATCATTAAAAAAATATCGTATTTTTCTTTTTGTCGATTTTTTTCGTGAAATGACATCATGGTATACGTATACGTATTCTTTTTTTTAATGATTCATAAAGTATAATATTTCACAAAAACACAAAAATATGATCACGAGCCCGATATGTAAATACTTTCCATCTTTGATAATGTCGTGCAAGTGAAAAAAAAGTTATTATGATTATATAATTTTAATTTATCTTTTTTTTTTTAGCCCGTTGGTAAAAGTAATGAGTCCGAAACAAGTAAATATTGAATTGTAAACAGTTCTGTGGTGTTTATTATGTATAAACAAGGTGGGGTAAAAAATAAAAAGCAAAGAGAGAACGCACAGATGTGTAGGAAAATATGAATAAAAAAAAATGCGATAAAAAAAAAAATATATACTTACGCCAATTTTCAATAAATTCGGCGTTAAAAAAAAAAAAA